ACTGACTTTTTACTTGTTTTAATACTCTGGCTTTTGTCCCTAAGCTTCTATTGATTTATCGATGAGTTGGATATGTATTCACTTTACTTTAAATTAATCATTTTCTTTCTTACTTTTTCATTTCTTTCTTCTACTTTCCCAATGATCTTTTCAAAAATATTCTATAATTGCATGTTGCCTAAGCCTGCAAGAATATCAAAATCACCTGGATAGATTTTAAACATGCAGATTCAGGAACAGAAAACATGGAAGATCCTGATTCACTAGGTCTGGAATGGGACTAGTAATAAGCATATTTAAAATTTTGCCTCTGTAATTGTGATAGTCAGTTGTGTATACTTGTGAAGTTTGCCAGTTACTCATTCCAGAATGAATTACATTTCTCCTATTCGAGTTTGGGTCTTATCTAATTTGTGCATAGCTGAAGTGTTTGTGTTGCCTTATCTTCAGAATATTTTTTTACATATTAGCTAATCTTCCATATATTTTATTTTAATATTCACCCACTTGCCCTGTGCCCCCTGCTTTTCTTTCAAAGAACCAACTTTCATTACATGCTGTTGAGGACAGAAAGTATCTCCTGAAATTTTGCTTTTCTCTGAAATGGAATGTACCTCCCTGATTCTAAAGGACAATGTTTCATTGACTTTGACTGTGGTGCATTTTTTTTTTTTTAAGATTTATTTATTTATTTATACAAGCACTGGGTACAGTCAGAAGCGCGAGAGGGTGAGAGAATTCACCAGAGCCAGAGTGGGGAGCAGAGCAGGCAGAAGGACCATGGTACACTACTGAGGGGAGCAGCGGGCGTGGCAGAACGGGGATGATCTAACCGGTGCTGCAGAGGCTGCAGGCAGCTTCACAGCCCAGCGCTCAACCGCTGCACTACTGGGGAGGCCCTGTGGTGCATTTTTTGGGGTAAATTTTAAGGGTAATTTTTTTCCTGTTTATTGATCTTTCAGGGACGAGACCTCAGTTATACTGTGGCATCTGCCAGTGTACAGGAGGGTCCCTCTTAAGTCCACAGCCTCAGAATGGTTGATCTACCCTACTCCAGCATTTTGTTGTTATTTTACTATGAGGTTTCTGAGAGTCTTAAAATGTTTTAACTTATGGAATCCACCCTATATATGAAAGGATTTAGGAAATAATTTGTAAAGTAAAAGTAATTATAAAATGAATACTTTTGAAGCTAACGTACCTCTGCTGCTATGCTTTCAGCAAAGAGATTATCCAATATACTACTCCCAGTGTCCCTTCTCCAATGTGCTAAGACTGAGGAGTTACCCCAGTCAATGGAGAAGAGTGGGAGGTGGGATCAGAGAAGAGGATTATACCTTCTTTGCTACCTCAGAAAATAGTACCTGAGTAGCTGAACAATTTATGCTCCTTTTTTCTCCTAGTTAATGTACATGCTGCATCTCAAAAGTAATGGTCATGCCCATTTCCTGGTTAAACACTGTAGGCAAGTTTTTAATCCAGATAAGACTACACTGAATTCAGTCAATCTTCTGCCTTGATTTTGCTAATGATCCAAATGACTGACTATAATCCTTGCATTTTAGAATTGTTTTGAGTTGTCTTTATTTTTTTTTTCTTTCCACAATGCTTTCCAAAGGATGTTTTACAGAGAAACCTAATGTGTGAAAAACAGGAGAGATGGGACCCACATCTTGAAAGGCCTCTAGATTGCTACATTCTGAAAAAATTACTGATGCAGTCAACTTCTTGACTTCATCATTGAGGGCACCTAGCCATAAAACTAATTAATGGATTACCTGGACCCAGGATGCAGGGCTTCTAATTCCTATACCAGAATATTTTCGACTAGAGCATGCTGCCTTTTTTCAGGTTCTGAAACTAGTTTCGGGTATGAAAATCTTTTCTTTTATTGAAGTGGTAAATACTCTTTGAAATCTATATTAATAGAGGCTAGGAGAGTGATTATAAAAATATATTTGTGGATTATATACTTTCAAATACAAGCTAATTTTTGGAAGTGAATTCTGATTATCTGTTGTCTCTAATTATGAATTTTAATATATCTACTTATGAAAAATTCTTTTGGTAGACAAATTTGAAAATATTTGGTCAAAACGTGGTAACCAACTTCCAGCAAGTCAGATATATGTGTTTTTATATGCCTACCCCCACATGCTAACTCACTCCTTTGGGGCTTCTTTTCTCTTTAACACAAGAACCTACTTTTGAATTATATTCTTCAGGATGGAGGGTATTTCTCTGCACTCAGAGATTCCCAGAGTCAGATGAAACTTGGATTTCTTCTTCTCAACCTCAGAAGCCCACACCCTTTCTAATGAGAATATCTCATGTCTCCTTCACACCCATTTGTTCTCTGTACCCATTTGTAAAGAGTCAGTCTTTTACTTTTCCTTCCAGCCAGAAAGATTCTATTGAGTTTTACTTTTTGAATTAGCCTTTTAAAAAGAGTTATTTTATATAAATATGGAAAATAATCATTCAATACCCCCTCCCAATTCTGATGTTGTTTCTTGAGGGGAGGGGAATAGGTATGCAGAGGGTTGAGACTCCTGGTTGATAGTCACTAAAGGAGATAAACATCTTTGCTTAATTTTTTTCTTTGCCTTAAAAATTTCTTATTCTAATTCTATCAAGGTTTGTTATTATCTAAAACATAATATCTAAATTTAAAATTCTTTCTGTAAGCTTATGTTATCTGGTCTCTATAACACATTTTTTGTATTTCTTTACCTTTATTTCTTGTTTGCTATCCATTCATGAACACCCATTTTTAAATCAATTTCTACATTTTCTACCCAGTAATAGAATTTAGTTATTTCCTAATCATTAAGCAACCTTGATTAGTATAATTTATTTTGTGCAGGTAGAAGATTGTGCCAGCAAAGTATGATTTTCTTAGAGTTATGAAAGGGATAATCAAGGATATTGGGGTAATAAAAAGTGAGGTATCATTTTTTAAAAAGATTTATGCATACAACAACTGGGGTAGAGGCCAGAGGTATGGGAGGTGAGAGGATTCACCAGAGACAGAATGGGGAGCAGAACAGATGGACTGACTGAAATACACTGCTGAGGGGAGCAGCGGGCGAGTCAGGAGCTCCCTGGCCAGGGATTGAACTCGTGCTGCAGTGGCTGTGGCTAGCTTCATAGTTTGCATCTTAACCCCTTGCGCCACCAGGGAGGCCCAGAAGTGTCATTTTTGAGACCATATTTTCCTAAAATCATCCAGCCTTTCTATGTGTAAAGAGATTCTGGCTTTATTTTTCAAATGTAATTGTATGAGAGAGATATATTTTATTTCCTCTAAGTCAAATTGACCTGCTTCAAGTCAGATACTGTCTGGGAGGTAGGAAATTAAATTAAGTCATCCCTGGTGCTTTGCGCCCTCTCCCAGGAGAACCATTTTAGGGTTCAGGCAGGGAGAACATTGAGGAAAAACTTGCCTTGTCCCCAGTCCATACCATTTGCCATGATAGTAATCCAAGCCACTACATCTCTTGTAATCAAGATGCTGTGCAGCATTTTTGGGGACAGCAATCTAACTAGGCTGGGAGCCCCTGGCGCAGGTTCCAGTTCCTCCAGGTTTACCACATCTGCTTCTGGACAGGTACCATGGGTCCCTCTCTAAGGGATTCCACAGCCAGTGGTTCCTTTCCAAAGTGCTGGATAGTCCCAATGTCCCCTTGTCTCTTGCTACTTCTACTTCTTATTTACCCACTAGGCAAAAAGAATTCACAAATGCCATCCATTTAACCTTGGAAGAAAAGTTGTCTTAGGGTATCTGGCATGAAAAGTCTCCCTGAGATAAGGGAACACAAGACTTGTATACTCTTTTTTTCCCCCCTTTTGATTTATTGCTCAAAAAAGCTTCATTTTTTAAATTTATTATCTACCTTCCTGAACTAGGAGTGGGGAAGTTTAAGGTGAGCAAAACTCAAATGAATATCACAATAGATTCTATTGCATATTTGACACATAATACTTAAAAAATGACAATATTAAAATAATAGGAACTGTTGTTATTCCTTTATTTCACGTATATTGGAAAGCTAAATCTTTGTCATTCCCTAATATTGTGAGATCTTAATATATATTTGATATCAACATTATCATTTCCCATAGTTAACCTTTCAATTGAACAAAATCAGCCACCGTCTCTTTCTTCAGCTTTAACCTTGCAGCAGGTAGGAGTGAGGCCCTAATTCTTTCTCCATGCTATGGAGAGTAGCAAAGGATATTTCTAACATAGTAGAATGGTAGTTTCAACCTATGTGCCCAAGGGTTTGGAAATTGTCCAAGAAGGCCAAAATGCAAGGGGGGAAGGTCAGACCAGGTATGCAGGGTTCCAGGAGCTCCAAACCCTATTCCAAACATAGTACTTGTACTTTTTAATTTTCACTTATTTTATGTATTCAATTTCATGTAAAATGTTGTTTTAATGAAGGACTCAATTGTTATAAAAATCTACAAATCATTAAAAGATATATATAATACCTACAATATTTGAAATTCCCTGGTATGTTGAGTTAAAGGTCTTCCTTTCTCCATAGTATAATTCTATGGTATAGAAATGAGCCTTCCCCTTAAAATTGTCTGTTTCTTAATTATCATTTACATGTAAAAATCTCCAAATGATAGGGCAGGTATGTGGGATAATGAGTTATTTAGATTCTCAGTTTCTTTTTTGATTAACTGGAAATCTGTCATGGGCAGTTGCTGATACAAATCTGGCTCCTTGCCAGATGAAGACTGTGGGTCCTTATCGGTCACCATCACTCATCTGTTCACTATACAGAATGATACAGTGTATAGAAAGCATTAAGTTTCTCCAATGTAAGTGCTGGATCATGTTATTATTTAACCAGAACTCAAAACTCTATTGTGATTATACTGCTCACTATGTATATTTATATCTAACCATTGTTTTTTCTTGTTGTTATTGTTAATAAATTACTCAACTATAATAAATTATTCAGAAGATTTTAGAATTCAATGCAGACAACATACCTAACAATAATTTTTTAATTAATTAATCAATGACATACCCTTATTTTACATTCTTGTTTGTTTTTTCACAATATTAACTTTATCTTATGGCAAGCTAAATAACATACATGCTATAATTTTCATTAGAACTCAAGATTTCATGAGACAAGCTTAAAATATTCGATGAATTATGTGGTAATGACAATTTTTATTTTAGAATACTGTTTTTTTCTTGTTAAAAACATACTTAAATAAAACTATTTCATTATCAGTCTATAGACTAAGGAATAATAATGTATTTTCTACAACCATAAGCATTCCAGTGTCTGTTTCTCTTCTAATACCGAATACTAAAATTAGAGTAATCAAGTTTAGAGATGGTTTTTTCATTGGAAAAGTCCGCACGGTCAATTCGAGAACTGGGGCTCCCCACTTTGCTCAGCCAGGACTTCCTACAAAAAACAAATACATAAATAAATTAGCATATAAAACACATCTGGACTAGGTAAAAATGAACCCATAACAGTATTAACAGGAGACTACTGTTACTAAGTAACTTTTGTAAATAATATGATACTTAAAAATATTTTTTCATATAATGACATATATAAAGAATACCAGAGTTTTATAACTATGGGGAGCAAGTTAATGATAAATTAAGCACTGTAATCTCCTGATTATTTGATATTAGGTTATTTCCCCCTTTAAAACATAGATGTATGAATCTATACCCCTAAATCATACATGGTGTAGTAAAACAATACTACCTCAATTAAAAAAATGAAGTTCCAGTTGAGTCTCATCAGCTCTTTGTAGATTTTTGTGATCAGTCCTTTATCATTAGTGTTGTGTGCAAAAAATTTCTCCCAGTTGGTAGGGTTTCTCTTTGTTTTGGTTATTGTCTCTTTTGCTGTGCAGAAGCTCTTTAATTTGATGTAGTTTATCTTTGCTGTTTACCTTTGACTTCACTATCACTGCTTTGGGCGATGTGTCTGTAAAGATGTCTTTGAGGTGCATGTCATGTAGTGTTTTGCCTGTATTTCCTTCTATCTATTTTATGGTTTCAGGTCTTATGTCTAGTTCTTTAATCCATTTTGATTTGGTTTTTGTGTGTAGTGTGAGGTAGTAGTCAAGCTTCATTCTTTTGCATGTAGTAACCCAGTTTTCCCAGCATCATTTATTGAACAAACTTTCTTTGCTCCAGTGAATATTCTTTGCTCCTTTGTCAAAGATTAGTTGACCATAAATCTGTGGGTTTATTTCTGGATTTTCTATTCAGTTCCTTTGGTCCATGTGTCTGTTCTGGTTCCAATTCCATGCAGTTTTGATGACTATGGCTTTGTAGTATAGTTTGAAGTCTGGGAGTGTGATGCCTCCATTCCCTTCTTTTTTTTTTTCAGGAGAGCTTTGGCTAATCACAAAAATCTATAAAGAGCGGATGAGACTCAACAAAAACAAAGAAAATAATCCAGTCAAAAAAATGGGCAGAAGAGCTAAAAAGAAATTTCACTGAAGAGGAAATACAAATGGCCACCAGGAATATGAAAAAATGTTCAACATCACTTGTAATCAGGGAAATGCAAATCAAAACTACAATGAGATACCATCTTACACCAGTGAGAATGGCACATAATAAAAAAAACTAGCAACAACAAATGTTGGCAAAGTTGTGGAGATAAAGGAACTCTCCTGCACTGTTGGTGGGAGTGCAAAGTGGTCCAACCACTATGGAGAGCTGTGTGGAGATTTCTTGACCTACTAAACATAGTGCTTCCATATGATCCAGCAATTCCACTCCAAGGTATTTACCCAAAGGACACAGAAACATCAATTCCAAAGAGCACCTGCACCCCTATGTTTATAGCAGCACTATTTACAATAGCTAAGCTTTGGAAACAACCCAAATGCCCAAAAACAGATGACTGGATCCAGAAGATGTGGTACATATACACAATGGAATATTACTCAGCAATCAAAAAAGAAAACACATGCAATTTGCAGCAACATGGATGGAGCTGGAAGGGATCATGCTCAGTGAAATAAGCCAGAAAGAAAAAGAAAAATACCAATGGTCTCACTCATAGCAGGAATTTAGAAAACTTAAATAAGAGACCAGGAAAAAGACTAATCAATACAAAGTAAAAATCAGAATCAACAAGCAACAGTAAACCAGAGACACACAACGGTGGGGGGGGGGGTAGGGGTGGGGCACGGAGAGGAAGGACTAGAGTCAAAATAAGGAGGGGTACAATTGTATGGGGAATATAACCATAATGAAAATGCATACATTGTGCAAAGATGAAAATGATATAAGAATTATATAAAATAAAGTATTAAAAAAATGATGTTCCAGGCTTTGAAAAAGAAATAAAACACCTAAGACCATTAATACCTAGGTCTTATACAGGAAGAATTCAGCAATAAGTATTTTATGTATATGTGGAGAGGATGATATAGAGAGATATGAAATAATTAAATGTAATTTTCCATAAACATTAAAATAAAATAAGATTTATTTGGGAGAGGAGATGAACATTTTTACTTATTTAAATATCAATTATTACCACATTTATTAACAAAGTAACTACAGGCCTATTCTAGATACTAGAATAAATATGTAGATACACAAAACAGGGCTCCTTCCCTCAGTAATCTACAATCTAATGAAAACAGCTGTAGAGTAATAAAAATAGCTGTAATATAAGGTGTAACATAATGTGTACCATGACTTATATAAATGAAAGAAGAGTTAACTTCTGGCCAAGGTGCATCCTTGTGGAGTGCATCTGGACAGAGATATCTTTGTGATAGCAATGACATCTGAACTAAGTTTTGAATAAAATATTATGAATTTTTAAAATCTTATAAACTAAGAAACATAGCAAAAATACTGTGGTAACTAATTAAAAATATCCAAAAATAATGTCTTGAGCAAAGTCAAAAACAACACACTGGATAACTTAGTTGCTATATAAAGAGCACTTAAAAATCAATATATAAACCAGCCATAGGATTGAGTGTTCAGTGTACTAAGAGGTCAGATGACCATCAGACATGGTCCATTAACACATGGCCCATGTATCTCATAGACATAGTAAAATAGAACTTTCAGATCATGAAAATGGAAGATTGAAAGGATGCCTTTAGAAACTGTCCACAAGAAGCTGGCTGCATTAGGACTAAAGGACCCAAGGGCATGCAGTGAAATGTGGAGACACATGGGTGGCTTTTCAAACAATGACTCCTTTGTTGTTATGTAATTAAAGGATTCACATGAGAGAGTTGCTGATTTTGTGTTTAACTGTGGGTGCTGAATATTATGTGGAGCCCCAGGATAAAGATAAAGAGCATCACTGAAGGTAATGAGCAACTTAGTGGCTTCTTAATTCATAAAAAAGAAAATTTCTTTGCTGTAGCCTTCTCTTCTGCATGTTTCTCCCTTAAAGAATATTAGCAAGATTTAATAAAATAAGAAAACGTGCTAGGAAAAAAAAATCAGTATGTAAAATGATGGTCATATAATAGAAAAATGGATAGAGAACATAAGCAGATAAAAAGATATACATGGCCATTAAATATGAAAACATTCTCACTCTTACACATAATGGAAAAAAATAAAGCAAAAATGAGACACCATCTGGAGATTTGGCAAAGATTTGCATGTTTGATGATTTCTAGTAGTGGAGTTAGAGTATAGGCAATTTTCTGCATTGTTGATGGGAATGCAAACTTTTTAAAAGGGAATGCCCTTTTAAGAAGGTAACTTGGTACTACCCAAATGATTTTTCAATGACCATGTCTTACAGTCATACCCTCATAAAGAGGGTAGCCACAGGCAGAGACCCTGAGCTGGAGGCTAGCATGCAGGAAGTTGATGAGGTATGCTCTTTGGTTTAGCAACCATAAGAAGCCAGGAGCAGACTGAGGAAGAAGCTGGGCAGAAATGCAGCCTCAATGAGGACCTCAGCCAATGCACAAGGTGAGAAAGTCTGGGTCTTCATGTCCTCCACATAACAGTCAGAGAGCTGCCCAGAAAAGGATGAATGACCTTTGGTGAAGTGGCTCCTTGTGCTGAGACAGTTTCTGAAGAGGGCTGATGAGTGGGGACCACTTCCCACTCATTTCCTGAAAGGGAATCTCAGTGGCCATCAAAGTACCTCCTACACATTTTCTCACAGGCGGGCAAAGGGAGTGGACTCAGGATGCAGCACACAGGAGGGCTAACTGGTAGACAAGGCCCTGGGACAGATTGCAAAGAACAGAATCCTGAGGTCAGTAGACTCATTCTGTATAGAAAAGCCATACAACTGAGGACATATCTTCTCTGCATAGAAAAGACAACAGGTTAAAACAACATATATAGAGAGCAATTAGATCTGAAGAGGATTTCACATGAGATAGCCTCTGGTGAATTAAGAGGTAAGGTAACTTACTGAGGATTAGGGAGATGAGACAGAAATTAGAGATTATTTGTGAAATCCTCTTCAGATCCAATTGCTCTCCATATATGTTGTTTAAACTATTGTCTTTTCTGTACAGAGAAATGCAATGGAACAAGGATAGTGTTCAACCATTGGTGCTAGGAAAGCTGGACTGCTATATACAAAAGAATGAAACTAGACTAGTACCTTAGGCCATGCACAAAACACAACTCAAAATGGATGAAAGAATTGAACATAAGACCTGAAATCATAAAATATATAGAAGAAAATATAGGCAAAACATTACATGACATACATCTCAGTAACATCTTTAAAGACTCATCCCCCAAAGCAAAGAAAGTGAAGGAAAAGATAAACAACTGGGATTACATCAAACTAAAATGCTTTTGTACAGCAAAAGAGACATTAACCAAAGCAAAGAGACACCCTACTGATTGGGAGAAAATTTTGCACACAATACAACTGATAAGGGACTGATCACAAAGATCTACAAAGAGCTCACACAAGACTCAACAAAAACAAAGTAAACAATCCAGTCAAAAAAAATGGGCAGTAGAGTTAAAAATACACTTCTCCAAAGAGGAAATGCAAATGGCCAACAGGTATATAAAAATATGTTCAACATCACTTATCATCAGGGAAATCAAAACCACAATGAGACAGTACCTTACACCAGTTAGGATGGCACATATTAAACTAGCAACAACAAATGTTGGTGAGGATGTAGAGAAAAAGGAACGCTACAACACTGCTGGTAGGAATAAAAACTGGTCCAACTGTTAGGGGAAAAGGCTGCCCCAAAGCAAATTCCATACAGGCTTTGTGGACTCCACCCCCACCCCAGGTCAAAGCCAAAGACACTGGGAACTCCAAATCCCATCACCACTAAAGGGAAGGTGGCTGGGACCTGAGGGTGGGGTTAAGCAGCCAGGTGGATACAAAAGGCAGACATGTGGGCTTTGGGGCGCTCTCCATTTTGGGGCCCTCGGCCAGCTCGCGGCGTCCATCTA